CTTGGATAAGACCGAAGAACAAGACGAAACCTTCGACAATCTGTTGGTGCGAATAAAACAGATGATCGATGATGGAAACACGAAAATAGAACAGAAGATCGAGTCAAGCAATAAAGCCGTTGTTTGTGAAATTGCTACACTGCGTGAAGAGGTGCATCAACTGAAGGCCGACTACGCCCGTGATTTAAATCGGCTAAACGAATCTCATGCAAAAACGGAATTGGATGTGCTGAAAAACAAGGATGCTGTTAACAGATTGCCGAAATCAAACGATTTTATTTTGACTGGAGTACCCTACAGCCCCATGGAGAACACTGGTGCTCTAATTCAGAAAGTTGTAGCTGCGCTTGAATACAGTGATACGAATGCCCCAGTTGTTTATACCAAACGATTGGCTCGAACACCTATTGTTGCGGGTGCAACACCACCGATTTTGATCCAGTTTGCCTTCAGAGCATCCAGGGATGAATTTTTCCATCGCTATTTCGCTAGGAAGAATTTGAACTTGACTCAGCTTGGATACGACGTTGACAGACGCATCTACATAAATGAGAATCTCACAGAATCAGCTCGTTACATCAAAGGGACTGCTCTTAAGCTAAAACGTTCTGGGAAGATTCATCATGTTTTCTTCAAGGATGGGATCATTTTTGTGAAGCCGACTGAAGACGTTCCAGCTCTGCCGATTTACTACGTGGACCAGTTGGCGGAGTACGGATCGATCAAACATCAACATCATTAAAGCCGTCTATACCAAACCCTTTCCTACGAATTTCATTTATTCCTTCATTGATATTTCCATGACTCCGTTCCTACAATTATCCTTGATATCTTCCCTCCTAAAAGTCAGACATCGTTGGACCTCGGATAAATCTTCATCATGGGCGTTGTTTATAACTGATGCTGTTGCTGTTGTTGCTGTTGCTGCCGTTGTTCCCGTTGTCTCACTCCATCACCATAGTCACCGCCGAAGCAGACATTGTTGCGTTTTATCGACTTCAATTGAGTGAGCGATCGTACATCACATTATCAGATGAGTAGAATATTAACGAAAACGATAGAAATGTATGTTGTTTTGTTCTTTGACTCGATGCTCTTTCCATTCCCTTCCTTCAATCTACTTTTCCGGTTCATGCTCTCACTGTTGATCATGTTTCTGTTTCTCGATGTCGGTTAATCAGATTAATGTTGCACGGACAGGACAAGGTATTGCTGATATCCCACGAGCTGTTATGAATGTGGCCTTACTGGATGATTGCTTGAACGTATGTCATATGAATGTGCAAAGTTTGTGTGCTCGTCAATTAAGCGAATTCAACGAATTTAAGCATTGTTTTGCTAGTAGCAAAGTTGATATCATTTGCGTATCTGAAACCTGGTTAAATGAAAGTATCGACAATTTGCATTTGTATTTATCACAAACTAGATCTTGATTGCAGAGTTATTGCTGTCTCTGATTCTCTAACGGAATTGGAATATTGTAATCGAACCGAATATATGTTTATTGAAGTTCGAGTAAACAATAAATTATTTCTCCTCGGTGCTATTTATTCGCCACCTAGAGTTGACTGCTCTAGTTTGCTAGATGAAAAGCTTTCCGAACTGTCACTTAATTATTCGAATGTTATTTTGATTGGAGATTTCAACATTGATGTGAGTAAAACCAGCGTTAGAACTTCACGCTTTTGCAGTGTTCTGGAAAATTTTGGATTAAACATTATCAACAATGAACCAACGCACTTTTACTCTGGTGGAAGTTCACTGATTGATTTACTGATAACTAACGATACTGATTTTGTTCTAAATTTCAATCAAGTTGCTGCTCCTGGTTTTTCTCAACACGATATAATTTTTTCATCACTTAATATATCTCGTAGAAAGTTGGATCTCCCTAAGTTATTTAATACATATAATCGTATTAACTACCCTCTACTACAAAGTACGTTGACAAATTTTGATTGGTCCCCGTTATATAGTATTAGTGATTCTGACTTGGCACTCGAGTTCTTCAATGCACACATTGTTGATCTTTTCGAAAATTTCGTTCCTCTGCGATCTGTGCGGTCCAATCCCAATGCGATGTGGTTCAACAATGATATATTGAATGCAATGATTGCGAGAGACATTGCATATCGACTTTGGATATCAAGTAGAATTGAATCGTATCATATTCAGTTTAGAAGACTTCGTAATCGGGTAACCAGTCTGATAAATAAGGCTAAATCAAATTTTTGAGCAGTGGCTTGGAAGCTGCTAACTCTAGTAAAGAGCTGTGGAAAAAACTTAAACATTTGAATGTTACCGGAAACTCTAATAGCAGTGTGAAGATTCATAATACTAGTGATGAAGTTAATGCCTTTTTTGGTGAACATTTTACGATAGATCCTGAATTACCGACGATACCACCACTGAATCCTGAAGGTTTCCGTTTTTCTCCTTGCACTGATTTGGAAATTTTGTCTGCAATTTTATCAATTTCATCCAACGCGATTGGTATGGATGGTGTTCCTTTAAAGTTCATCAAATTGATTTTACCCTTCGTAATAACTCCGATTTCCTACCTGTTCAACTTGTTCATTTCGACCGCTAGATTTCCTCGTGCATGGAAAACCGCAAAAGTTATTCCAATTCGGAAAAAGCCTGCAGGCACTAGCTTGAATAACCTTCGCCCAATCAGTATCCTATGTTCATTATCTAAAGCCTTTGAAAAGATTCTTAAATCTCAGATTCAAGAGTATATTAACCGATTTAACTTACTCAGCCCTTACCAATCAGGTTTTAGGTCAGGGCACAGTACAACTTCATCACTTCTTAAGGTGCATGATGATATCCATAAATTAATTGATAAAAAAGGAGTTGCTTTTTTACTTTTGATTGATTTCTCTAAAGCTTTTGACAGGGTCTCACACGTCAAACTACTGAAAAATTATCACACCAGTTCGGATTCTGTCGTGAAGCTGTTTCTTTGATCAATTCGTATTTAAGTGCTCGCACTCAAGTGGTGGATATTGAAGGTAATCTTTCGGCTCCCATTAATATATTATCAGGTGTACCCCAAGGGTCAGTATTGGGTCCTCTTTTATTTTCATTATTCATCAATGACCTTCCGTCAGTATTGCAAGTCTGTTTGATCCACATGTTTGCGGATGATGTTCAATTATACCTCTGTTCAATTGATGCATCTGTAGAAGAAATGGCTCGTCTAATCAATAATGATTTGAAGTGTGTATCGCTATGGTCTTCAAGAAATCTGCTTCCGATAAATTCATCTAAAACAAAAGCGATGTTCATTTCCAGACGGCAGACACGCATTGAGTTACCAAATCTTTTTATAAATAATGATATTATTGACTTTGTTAACAAGGCTTCTAATCTCGGTATAATATTACAAAATGATTTAGAATGGGATTCTCAAGTAAATTCCCAATGTGGAAAGATTTATGCTGGATTACGACATTTAAGGCTAACGGCTGCTATGTTATCGGTATCAACCAAAATCAAGCTTTTCAGCTCTCTTTTGAAACCACATTTTTCGTATGGACTTGAACTGATTTTAAATGCTTCTGCTAATGCTTTGGATCGTTTAAGAGTTGCCTTAAATCACTGCGTACGTTGGGTTTTCAATTTGTCAAGATACGCTAGAGTAACACACTTACAACGGCAGCTTTTGGGCTGCCCATTTTATGAATTCTTTAAACTGAGAAGCTGTGCTACCTTATTCAAAATTATACATCATGGCCCAAACTATCTTCATGAAAAATTACAACCATTCAGAAGCGCTCGAGTAAGACACTTCGTAGTACCGCAGCATAACTCCTCTCATTACGGTAGTACCTTTTTTGTTCGTGCAATTATACTATGGAATCAGCTTCCTACTTACATTCAATCTATACAATCAGCTGCAGGATTCTACCGTGAGAGTTTGAACTGGTTCAGTGGAGGGAATTGAATGGAATGGAATGAGCAAAGGGTTGAGCTTTGACTATATGTTTTTAGTATTACTTCTACGTGAAGTCAACGATTTACATAGTTGAAGATGCTAATTTCAAATAACAGACTGTAGTGGTAATTTTTATACGATAGATGGAGTAGATGAAAGCATAGAGTTGATAGTTCCGTTAGAGTACGGCAGTGTGAAGATTGTATATAGATATTAGAATAGCGAACTAGGACAACTTTTAAGGAAGGTACAAATCGGTTTTTTCATCTCTCTTTACCAAACTCCCCCTTTGGAGAGGGATGGTGAGGGGTGTCCCCCCCCGCCACCACAATTGAAGTGCGGTAAAAATCGGTAGAACTGTTTCAAACACACAGTTGGTACTTGAACGGGTCGGTTTTCATCTCTTTTTGCCAGTGGTGGCGGGGGGGGGGGTTTAGTTTTAAGATCCGCAATTACAAAAATGTTGATGTACTAAAAAAAAATCATGCAATTTGACAGATATCAAAACGTCATTACCATTTTCACATACTCGCCATCTGTGAGTCAATCGTCACTTTGATTCTTCAATAGTTCCATCGCAAATAGCGATTTTTTTTTTCATTTCGTCCCACTGGGGGTGTAAACGGATCGATTTCGTTTCACGTGAACTGTCAACTGCGAAAAGAGAAAATTGGAAAATTTTCCACAACCATTTTTTTACAACCTTTTTCGCTAGCTAAAGATCAAGATTTTTCACTTGCTTCAAATTTCAATTCGCTTTGAACTGTATACTAGGCGTAACCGGTAAACTATGTTTCCGAAGGCTTGATAAAATTTGATAATCATTACTGAGACCTTTGCCGAAGGCTCGGCTGTTGAATTCTCGGAACTATTTTTTACCGGGCTTGGAGAGAAAAATCTAATTGTGTACACCAGTAGCAATATGCGCATTACACCAATATTCTCAAACTACTAAACGGTGGTAGGTGTACTAATCCCATAAACTTCACTAGCTGAGCCAATACAGCACCTATCGTTGTCCTGAGTAGCATCTGACCATCAGTCAACCGTAATCAGTTGAGCAGATTGGGTGTTTTGTCACGTACGTTATAGTTTGTCGCAGCTGCACATGCATATAGTTGATAGTTGTATGTAATTAGTTAAGTCGATTTGTGTACCGCGTCTGATAATAGTGTTAGTGTTGATGTGCATTTTGTTTACAACGCATTGTTGTCTAAACAGCAAAGGTGTGTGATAAGACAAGGTGACTTTGTTGGATGCTCTGAGCTTGCTGTAGTTTGTGTTTTTGATAACGTCGTTAAGCTGTTAGTCTCCTCATCATTCGTTCTGAACAGCTGTTCCCGAGAGTGGCGTACTTTAAGGTAAGTCGCGTAGTTCATAATGTAGGCGAGAATGTCGGCTTGGTGATCCGAAGGACAGTATTAGCTATCCAGAGTGTGTTGCTTTCATGCTATTTCTCGATTGTGTTTTCATAAACCGCTCTGAATATCAATGAGCACGCGACAACCAGTCTGTTGAGCCATTTTAATTTTTGTGTTGATCGTGTTGGCGGTTGGCGCTCGTGGTATCACTATATGTATGTATACAACGTTCGGGGTGATCTGTTGTTGTTTACTGATTTTTCAGAATGAGAGTGAAAGGCAGCAATTTGTAATAGTTTCTTGAACTTGAATAGTGAGAATGTAACAATAAACATCCGAAAATATAACACAGGTTGTGAGCTGGTACTACGTCGTTACGTTGTTTATTACACATTAGGTGCAATCAATATTGAATAAGATTCAGTATAGTGACCCGTATCCGGTTGTGCAAGGTCTTTTTCGAGGTAGCATTGAGCTTTCGGCAATTTGCTACTTTGTATTGCAGTGTAACTTTTGCGAGCATTCTTCACTAGAGGGAGGATAGTTGCCAAATTCTCCTAGTAAAACAGGTTATTTTCGGGGGAAAAAGCTCCATATAGAAAAAAAATGAATGATTTCCCGTGGAAATTTTGCTTCAATCGCGAACTCGGCCAACAATAACAACTCAACGACTGAATTCAATTGACTCAGAGAATTTTCGTTTCATACGAAATTTACTCATATTTTGAAAAAGCTTCAGTTGCTCCCCGTATAAAAAAGAACCATAAATTCACAATGAAATGTATTGTAACCATACAATAGAATTTATTGTATTTACAATAAATCATATTGTATACAACGATAAACGAACCAAAAAATGTATTGTTTTCACTATATAATCTATGGTAAATGAGCAAATCTACAATAGAGCAAGGGGGTTGTTATGTATCTTAAAAATAAGATAAATCACTTTTTCGCGAACAAAGATGAACCATTTACCAATAATTGTATTGTTGTTCTATTGTTGAAAATTCTTACTATATGGAACGTATTGTAAATCTATTGAAATAACAATATGCTAAAATCTCTTGTACAATATACGGACAATAAGATCGATTGTTGGCAAAATATTTTGATGTAATTGTATTTTATTTTATGGTAATTGTATTGTTATTTTTTTCCGGGTCATTAGCTACGAGGAGCTGCAGGTTTTTCCAAATATGAGTAAATTTCGTATGGAAAGAAAATACTCTGAGTAAATTGAATTCAGTCGCTGAGTTGTTCTAATTGGCCGTGTTTGAAAACTAACTTTTATTATTTCAGTATGCATCGGTGATGATTTCACGGAAAATTAGCATATTTCGGAAAATGGTGAATATGTGTGATTTCCACTAAGATGAAAGTGGTAGGAGAACTTACTTTATCATGCTGATCATAATGGATAAATTGTTGTGTAGAACGCCAATATTCAATAAATGCTTATTTTTAGCCAACCGGTGGAAGCTAACGATTTTAAATTGGCTCATTACTTGACTAGCCTATTGGTCCCAAGCACATCTATAAGCATAGAGGTAACTCTAAGACCAGAAGGTCCCGAAGAAAAGAGCTTAACTTTTTGGCTCAGCTCTGGTACTATCTTCGGTCCCAAGCTAATCGATTCACCCCTCAAAACATAGGAAAATCCAATAACCCCTCATTTTATCTGTCAAACTTTCATAGCGAATCACAACAAACATAGTGTAGTACTGGAATTTATACTAGAATGGGATACGCTAGTCGATTTGCTTGGGCCAATAGGCTAGTCAAGTAGTGAGCCAATTTAAAATCGTTAGTTTCGTATTGATTGTTGCTATAAGCGTACCGCATTCTAGTCGAAATTCTAGTACTACGCAATGTTTGTTTTGATTCGCTATGAAAGTTTGACAGATGAAATGAGGGGTTAGTGGATTTTCCTATGTTTCGAGGGGTGAATCGATTAGCTTGGGACCGAAGATAGTACCAGAGCTGAGCCAAAAAGTTGAGTACCTTTTTCGGGACCTTCTGGTCTTAAAGTTACCTCTATGCTTATACTCTAAAATGGTGCTGGATGGTTTTCAAAGTGATAACATGATGACAAATCATCTTTATTTTGAATAGTTCAGCAATTAACTTTTGTTTACACCTTATTTTCGATGCAGCATTGATGGTGCCGTGAAATGAAATGAATATATTTTATGAAAGTTCATCTGGAAAAGTCACAGATGCACATCAGTCTGATTGGAAAAACGTCTTCCTCTTCAATTCGAAGGTTATATATTATAAGGAGTTTACGCAGGTTTGATCAAAATTAGGATTTAATGCTTATTATCACGACTTTTATGTGTAGCCTGCCAGCCATTATCATCATCATGCAGTGGCGACATCTGCGCTGAGCTTTTACTGAAATCCCCATATAAATCTGTTCTGTACGTTGACCCGATGGTGCTGCAACCACGATCTGAAGCCATGATGTTTCGCTACACCAGTTCCGAGCCAGTCACTGCTGTATTGTGGTTCTTGAGGTTATCTCTACAAACATTGAAACACTTTTGATTTCTTTACACTGGATTTTTCCTGTTGAAGTTTGATACGCATATAGTCGTTAAGCGAAGAGCTGGTTCATTCTGGATTAGCATCGACTTGCTGTGGTGTCCGGCGTTGCTCGAGCATTAAAAGATGATGAAATTGGAATTGCACTAATCTCTTTTCAAAGGTGGTCGACTACATTGTGAGCTTATAAACATATAAGGTACACTGGGATATTCAGACCGCGGGGTAAGTGGAAACGACCATTTCGAAATCAGAATGTTTATAACTCTCGAAAGTTGTTCATCGAACACGCATTTAACGATTGGAAGATTGCCGTAAAAGCTCAACGCAGATGTCGCCACTGCATGATGATGATAATGTTGACAGACTGCATATAAAATTCGTGAAAATTAGCGTTAAATCATAATTTTCATCATGCCTGTGTAAAATCCTTCCAATATAACATTCGAATTGAAGAAGAAAACGTTTTTACGATCAGACTGATATGCATCTTTGACTTTTCCAGCTGAACTTTCATAAGATATATTCATTTCATTTCGCGGCTCCATCAATGCTGCATTGTAAATATGATGTAAACAGAAGTAAATTGGTCAATTACTCAAAATAAAGATGATTTGTCATCTTGTTATCACTTTGAAGACCATCTAGCACCATTTTATGGTATGGTGCGTGTTGAGTAAATCAAGTTCCGGTGCGTTTTCCGTCGAAAATTGTGAGTATCAATATGTTTGCTTAAAAAAGGCCAAAATGAACATTTATTGAATATTGGCGTCCTATGCAACCAATTCTCTATTACCACCAGCATGATACAACCTTTCATAAGTAAACTAACTTAATTTCCACTTTCATCTTAGTGGAAATCGCACATATTCACCATTTCCCGAAAAATGCAGCTGCGCAGGAGGTAACCTCTCCCTGTGGATGCAAACTTGTAATGCATAATTTGCCATGAAAACCTCTCCGGTCCATACCGAAATAAAAACAATTAGTTTTCAAACACGTTTTCTTACACGATTCAAGCAAAAGTTTCCACGAGAAATTATTAGTTTTTCTTTATGGACCGATTTCCCCCAAAAATCGTCTGTTTTACTTTGAAAATTTGGAAACTATCCTCCTTCTAGTAGTTCTGACTTCGAAATGTAGGAGGCGAAAGCTTGGAAAAGTTTCACTGCAAGACGCCAATCAATTCCAATGTTTCTTAGTTGGTAGTACCACCACCCGTGGCGCGCATAGTTAATTGCCTGTGTTTGACGTTTGCACACTATCTCCATTCGTTGAGGTTGAGGTGACGGTAGTGCTAAGAAATAATCAATGTGTTACGTCTGCCTGTGTCGGTGCTATAAAACGGGAAACTGCATAGAGCCAATGACGTCATCAGCGGTACGATATAATTGCTCTATAGAGTTTCTCGTTTTATCGGTTTTATCGCACCTAAAGAGCCTAAATTTATAAAGAGGCGACACCTTATCCATTTGACAGATCTTCTGCTCGATTGGAATGACTTTTCCTATGACTTTGACAGACAATCGGTTGTTCCAATTTTGACATGTCGTCTCTTTATAAATTCAGGCTCTTTAATCGCACCCACACTTAGACATTAAGATTTCAAATGGCCGATCCCGGTGTACTTCACATCAATTTAGTGGACTATCTGTTTGTCTGTGACCGAACCTTTGTCCAAAGTGGTACCACATATAGGAAATATTATTCCATTAGATAATCCATGGCATAATCAATGCCCGTCTAGTCCGGCAGCTGATAGCTCACCCCCAGCTAGACTAATCTAACTGTTTTTGAAACGTCTTTTGCAAATCACTAGCTGCTTACTCCGGTCAGGGTCTAATACGTCTGGTTTATTGTCGTTCTTCTCCCGCATTAATCCTGCATTCATCCTCACTCGTCACTCCGTCATTGATAAAGATTTCCATTCATTATAAATCCTGAACCGCTGTTTACTTCACTTTCAGTCTTTGTTCGACCGCTTTACGTATTGCACCAGTTTTGCCGTAGAGGGGGAAACAAAATGGATCGTGTAACAGTTCTGGACGGGGGCTTTGCCACCCAGCTGTCGGTTCACGTCGGGAAGCACGTCGACGGGGATCCTCTGTGGAGTGCCCGGTTCAATGCGACCAATCCGAATGCGGTGTTCAAAACGCATCTGGATTTTCTGCAGGCCGGTGCCGAGTGCATCATGACCAACACCTACCAGGCCAGTATTGAAGGATACATGGAGTATTTGGATGTCAGCGAAGCGGGCAGTTTGCAGTTGATCAAGTCGACGGTTAAGCTTGCTCAGATGGCAAGGACCAAGCATTTGGCAGAGAACGCCGTCCGGCGGGTTCCGTTGGTGGTGGCTTCGATTGGACCCTACGGGGCGCACTTGCACGATGGGTCGGAATATACGGGGGAGTATGCGGACTACGTGTCGGTGGATACGATACAGAAGTGGCACCGGTCGCGAATCGATGCCTGCCTGGAAGCTGGAGTGGATGTGCTGGGGATCGAGACGATCCCTTGTCAGGTGAGTGTCTAATGCCATGTACAGGATGACTAGAGCTCTTGTAACAGAGCTATAAACTTTAAGATAGGAATCGTGGTGAATTTGGCCAGACTGTGCAGAGAGTTTGTCTTTTAAATTCGCGTGAATAACAACGTTGCACTGTGGTCCAGGTTGAGGTCCAGCATGGACATTTAGAAAGTCCTAATGCTTTTCTATTAAGTTTTAAATAATTGCTATCGCGGTGAAGTTTTTTTGGTTGGAATTGTTGCTTCGTTTGACCGTTACAAAAGTTAGGGTGGTGCTCAAATTAATTGATATTCAAAAAATGATATTCATATTTGTGAAAATAAAGTTTTTCGGAAAGTTGTAGCTGAGTTAATTTTAAGCTACTTTGTTGTATAAATTATTTTTCTATCTTAACGTTTTCATTTCAGATAAAATTTTCAGAACTTATTTAAGGTGTTCCTGATAAAAAAAATTCTTATGAAAGTCGCCATCGCCATCGCCATCATTGATCATGTTAAAATGATAAAAATTCACATATATGTATGTCAAGTAAATCTAATTACTATCTAAATCCAATAAATCTAATTACGATTTATAAATAAATTTATTAATTTACAGGAAGCATTAATCAGTAAAACCATATTTTCGGCACGTTTTTATGTTTCTAAAACTATTGGGAAAAATTATCAAAAATCCAAGAAAATCAGTTTTTTACTTAGATTCATGACAAAAATTACATGTAAAAATATTTTTTCTATAATCATGAAACAAATTGGACTCTCATCAAAACCGAAAAGTTGATGTTTTGTAGTTTTTTGAGTCCAACTTTATGCCATGATGAGTTACAATTTTTTCCGCCTTAAACTAGCATTTCTGCACATAAAATCCCAGAATTATTACCCAAGATAGTTTGAGCTGAATCTATGACAAAAAGTCAAAAACAAAAGGTCGATGGACAAAAGCTCAAATGGAGAAAAGGTCGAATAAAAAAAAATCGAAGAGACAATAGTTCGAATGGACAAAAAGTCAAATCGACTCAACACGGAGAAAAAATACTATCCACAATTTGAGTTCTTTTTACTTAATATTGAGTTCAGTCCCTCACTTGCACCTTTTATTGTTGTCAAAAAAGGAACGAGAGATTCGACCCAACGATATTGTTCAGCCCAATAAGTTACTTTTGAGAAAATTTACGTGAATTGAATTTAATTTTGGGTAGAACATACTTGAAAGTATGTAAGTTTTTTTGCTGGTGTTGAATGGAATCTACTATATTCAGGCATAACATTTGATAACGACACAAAAGCATTTGTAAACAAACTTCCTAAGGCCCTTTACACGCGAACCAAAGTGCACCCACGCAAACCAACAACATCATCGGATAGGAGCAACTATCACCTTTCCGAAAGTGGTATTGGTTTGCGTGGGCGTACTTTGGTTCACGTGTAAAGGTCCTTAGACAGTTTGTTTACAAATGCTTTTGTGCCGTTATCAAATGTTATGCCTGATATGCAATTTACTCAAATTTGGGATATTGGGCCGAACCTCGGAACTGAGGGAAAAATACTTAATTTTGGGTAGTTTTTCGTCTCCTTGAAGGTCGAATTGAACTTAGAAGGACAAAAGGACGAATAGACAAAAGCTTGAGTTTAACATAGAGGGACAAAAGGTCGAATTGACAAAATGTCAAATGGACAATAGATTGAACGGACAAAAGGTCGAAATAGACAAAAAGACGAAGTGGACATAACTTTAAAGAACCAAAATCAAAATTGACAAAATATTGTTGAGAAATTTTTTGTTCAGAGTTTACAAGAACTTTTAAAAATGTTATGCAAATCAGTGGCGTCGCCCCAACCTCAATCTACCTGTTCAACAACTCTCAAAATGTAAACAAATAAAACAATATTGGTTCACATGGATACAAATCAGTGAAACTAGAAGACTCTGTGTCCTTTGAAAGTGATTTGAATGTAAACATGACCCTAAATAACGTTATCAAAGTTGTTGAACAGGTAAAAAGTGAGGTTACACGAAGCCACTGATGCAAATACTCCCAAAGAACTGCTCATTATTTCAAGAAGGAATATATTCTATATAAATGCAGTTTTTGACTCTTAAATTACGGTTACACGCACAGTTGCTACTTGTTGTTTTTATTTTCCAAAAAACTGCTCATGATTTGAGGAAGGGAAAATATTTGAGAGTATGCCATCCATTTTATCCTTCAACAATTTGACCAATCCATTTGGACCTTTTGTCCATTCGACCTTTTGTCCCTGTATGATCAATTCGATCTTTTCTGCATTCGACTTTTTCTGCATTCGACCTTCCTTTTGTTCTACGACTGTTTGTACTTCGATCTTAAGTCCTTCGACCTTTTGTTCTACAACCCTTGAGTTTTAGCTTAGATTTTTGTACATTTCGTAGTTGCTACTCGTTGATTGACAAGAACCTGCAAATTGCACATAGATCCAAATTAATAGGGCTTGGAAAGAGCTTACCATTCGCTTTGTACAATGTACATTGTACAATGAACGAACGAACGAACGAACGAACGAACGAACGAACGAACGAACGAACGAACGAACGAACGAACGAACGAACGAACGAACGAACGAACGAACGAACGAACGAACGAACGAACGAACGAACGAACGAACGAACGAACGAACGAACGAACGAACGAACGAACGAACGAACGAACGAACGAACGAACGAACGAACGAACGAACGAACGAACGAACGAACGAACGAACGAACGAACGAACGAACGAACGAACGAACGAACGAACGAACGAACGAACGAACGAACGAACGAACGAACGAACGAACGAACGAACGAACGAACGAACGAACGAACGAACGAACGAACGAACGAACGAACGAACGAACGAACGAACGAACGAACGAACGAACGAACGAACGAACGAACGAACGAACGAACGAACGAACGAACGAACGAACGAACGAACGAACGAACGAACGAACGAACGAACGAACGAACGAACGAACGAACGAACGAACGAACGAACGAACGAACGAACGAACGAACGAACGAACGAACGAACGAACGAACGAACGAACGAACGAACGAACGAACGAACGAACGAACGAACGAACGAACGAACGAACGAACGAACGAACGAACGAACGAACGAACGAACGAACGAACGAACGAACGAACGAACGAACGAACGAACGAACGAACGAACGAACGAACGAACGAACGAACGAACGAACGAACGAACGAACGAACGAACGAACGAACGAACGAACGAACGAACGAACGAACGAACGAACGAACGAACGAACGAACGAACGAACGAACGAACGAACGAACGAACGAACGAACGAACGAACGAACGAACGAACGAACGAACGAACGAACGAACGAACGAACGAACGAACGAACGAACGAACGAACGAACGAACGAACGAACGAACGAACGAACGAACGAACGAACGAACGAACGAACGAACGAACGAACGAACGAACGAACGAACGAACGAACGAACGAACGAACGAACGAACGAACGAACGAACGAACGAACGAACGAACGAACGAACGAACGAACGAACGAACGAACGAACGAACGAACGAACGAACGAACGAACGAACGAACGAACGAACGAACGAACGAACGAACGAACGAACGAACGAACGAACGAACGAACGAACGAACGAACGAACGAACGAACGAACGAACGAACGAACGAACGAACGAACGAACGAACGAACGAACGAACGAACGAACGAACGAACGAACGAACGAACGAACGAACGAACGAACGAACGAACGAACGAACGAACGAACGAACGAACGAACGAACGAACGAACGAACGAACGAACGAACGAACGAACGAACGAACGAACGAACGAATAAACAAACAAACCAAAGTCACACCAAATCTCACCCCCGATTATGTCACGAATGACCCAAAGGCGTTAATGTGAGTATAATAAATAAATCAATACATTAATAAATCAATAAATCAATTCATCTGAATTTACAAGAAATTTTGTTGTTAAATCATATGAAAATTATTCTCACGAGTACTTGATTATTGAAAATTGACACGATAGCTCATGATAGGTAGTTTCGCCTCGTGATAGTAAGAGAACCTGTCTTGTCATTTTCACATGATGACCGTGATATTTGCCAGCTCTGGTTAGGAATAATAATTAATCCGAAGCCCGTCCATCTGGCATACGAAACACTTGTTTTTATTCCCTTCATACAAAGCATTACATACTGTTATACATTGTGTTACACAAACGTTAAGGACACAATTTACGAACGCCTTTTCTCTTACCACATACCTTATTCTTTTTGTTTCACATTTACTCGGGCACATAGCTGACAATCTTCTTAGTGTACGAAGCTGCGAATATGTGTTTGCTGCAAAGAAGCAAATGCCGATTTGAAATTCCAGATCGGCACAGCTTCTGAATTATTAGAACTCTGCTTGGATCAGGCCTCGCTAAACCTTGTTCTTGTATCTACTCGTCAATCAGTACATTTCACGGAATGTATAAGCAAAAAATCGGTCAGCTAAATCAACTACCGTGTACATGTATACCAGATTCCATAGTTGGTGGCAGAACAAGTCTGAATCTCCCATGAAACATTTGTTTTCCCCCTTCCAGATGGAAGCCGAAGCCATGCTGGACATGCTGACCGAAGACTACCCGCACGTCCGGTTCTGGATTTCGTTCCAGTGTAAAGACAACGCTCACATCGCCCATGGAGAGAGCTTCGCCGAAACGACCAGCTACCTGTGGAACAAAGCCAAACTGCTGGGAAATGGTAATCTGCTTGCCATCGGCGTAAACTGTGTTCACCCGCAATTTGTCAGCCCACTGTTCCGGTCGGTCAATGAGAAACGCCCCGCCAAGGATCGGATCCCGTTGATCGTGTATCCTAACTCGGGAGAGGTCTACAACGTTGAAACTGGGTACGGGGAGGACATTCATTTAGTAGCAATGCTGGGACACATTTGTAATTGAGTTTACAATTTCAGATGGCAGGGAAAAGAGGACTGCGTCCCACTGGAACACTACGTTCCACAGTGGATCGAACTCGGAGCTCGCTTCATCGGAGGCTGTTGCCGTACCTATGCACGTGACATCGAACGTATCAAGCAGACCGTAACCTCACTGCAGGGGGGTGCACTTTAGGGGCTAGATTGTCTGCAGCACTGTGACAGCGTGAGACTATTTTCTCTCTTTAAGTTTTATCTAATTAGACACGTATTTCCTTGAGATTTGTTTAATGTTATGTCGATTTTATGTAGGCTACAAATAGATTTACGATTCACATAAGCCGTTCCTCACTCAACAGATATCATTAGCCCTGAATTGATCGCATACTGGACTTTTTCTCCAAAGCTTCTCATGACAGTGCATTCTGAATTCGTTCTTAATACATTCGTTGTACAGATATGGGTAACTGTTACAGTCAGTCCGGAATCGCATCAACTCCTCGTATATTTCTTCATATTTATCATTGTAGCAAGTGAAGGCCGCTTTGTTGATGGTTTCCAGTTCGTACTGGCTTCGGTTGACGTTGAGCTGCTGAATTCGGGACAAATCAACGTGGAATTCATCAACCACCCCCAAAGATCGGTAGTAGCATGCATGGACACACTGGAAAATAACAGTAACGTGACGTGATAAAAGTAGGCAGTAAAATTGGCTTTTTACCATAACTAGTCCCAGTGGGCTTTCGGTGAATTGGAATTTATGCTGATTGGTGCAGTTTTCGGTGCTACGCTCGGGAAGCCAATCTTGTAGAAGACAGCATTTTCCAATTTCATGGATCTGCAAATAGAAATCGCTTAAGCGTTTAAAATTTATCATGCAATCCAACAAAACAAACATTGGAAGCAGAACAAGAGCTTATTTAGTCAAAAATTTGCTTCGTCAGCTAAAAAACGGATTATTCAGTCTTTAATCAGCTCAAATTGTTTGTTGTGAATCTACCTACATTTTTCCGAAAATCGAGGCATTTTGAAAATGCCCCCATCTGAAATGAAAGATTAACGTTCAAGTTTTATTACCAGGACAGGTGAAATACGTTTGCGCTTCATACCGGTAGTTGTACAAGCAGCCAGGTAATCAGGAATCTACTCGCAGCCATTTCACTGATGGATCAACCACTACTGGATAGTGTCGCTCTACGTTTAGCTCGATGCGTAGTTACTGTTGAGGAATTAATAATTAAGATCGATCTGTAAAATTGTTCATATCCAGGACAGTCATGGTGGTTTCTCTTCGTTTCTCCATGAGTAAGCAGTTCCGAAACCAGATTTGTTTTTATTGATAAAAAATAACTAAATAAATAAATTTCTCATACATTTTCTTCGACCGAAAGGTGTTCACCTCTAACACAGCCATCAGAAAGTTAGTCCCTAACCAGTGATGCCACATATACACACAAAAAATAATCATTGATAAAATTAAAAATAACATTGGTAGAATTGAAAGTTTGCGTTGGTTCTTTTTGGTAGAAAGCGGATAGCTTTCGAATCGAAAGTCTGCCAACTGTCAATTCAAAAGTTGCCCGCGCCCTACTTTTAAAAGCTTAAACTTTCAAAATAAATTGTAGAACAGTCAGATGAAAAACGGGGCAGTGTTGAAATTGAAAGCGGATTATTTTAAATTCAAAATTAATATTTTCAAAACAACATCGTAGTTTTATTTTAAATCCTAAGAAAATATTAAATTTAAAGTTTCGATTTTAAATAAAAAGGTTCAAAAATATGTTTAATATTATTATTATATTTTTTACTATAATGATTGAACTGAAAATGAAAATAAGCAATCAAGTTGAGCGCAGTTCACCGTTTAACGTTGCAACTGAATAATCTTGGAGTTTAGTTCGAAGTTGACCTCTTCCGCCCGGAGGTAATATTCGCTTGGCAAAAGCGTGTGGAACAATGGTGCCGTCTTCTCCTGTGACCAGATTCTTGCGGTAGTTCTCTGCTCCAAACAGGGGAAGCAACACCCCAAGAAATCGACTTCCAGGGACATCATTCACGGATAATCTCGCAGTTTCCGAGGACAAATCGTTCATTCCTAATCGGAGCTCACTTTTCTGGTGTACTATTCTCTAGCGGAATTTTCTTTTCTCGTTACCTCGACGTGAAAGGTTGAAGCATTTTGTGTGACAATTCTACCGAAATTTCCTTGTTTTCCGTGGTTACCATCACCCTACTTCCGTAATTTTTGTATATTGCACTGCATAATCGTAGTCGATGAAGTGGTAAGTACATAATATCAGCGATTCCGGCAGGGGATCATCTTCGATGTGAATGCCAGAGTATCACCCATAATCACCTGTCCGCTGGTGTATGATCTACAGGAAAGAAATGAAAGTTAGTTATGATATTTATTGTCGAAGTGAGATAAGAAAGCACATACCTACCAATGTAAAGATTAGCGCCAATTTTTTTTTTGAACAGAACGATGGTTTCTTGCATTGAAGAATTCATAGCGTTGCTGTTTTTTTTCAGCAAGGCTAAGGTGATAGCTATGGTATCCTGTGAGTAATGACGGCCGCTCAAACGGGCAACTGAAAATGGATTTGTATAGAAGCATTCCTTGCCGGTCAGTGGACGGCCCCCACTTACCTATCTGTGACTGTATTTATCTTTGTGAGGATGGTGAGCAGGGTGCCTTCCATTCATTTTGACTAAAAAAATGTTTTAGGAAATTATGGAATAATACGATATTATGATGGTATTTTGGATGTTTAAGGAACAAGACAAATTTTTAAAGTTTGTGTTTGACACATAAAACCTGCAAATTTAGCTTTGACAGAGCCACAATGAGCGATTTTCTGATCGCCTCTTCGCGAAGAGTGAAGAGTGGGTGAGATAAATGACAAAATCGCTTATTGCGACTCTCATGTAGCAACATTGGCTGGTATTATGTGTCAAACACAAACTCCACAATCTTTTCTTGTTGCTTACACAAACAAAATATTATTATAATATCTTATTATTCCATAATTTTATAAAACGTTTCTTAGCCAAAATGAATGGAAGGAACCCTGATGGTGAGTTATTTACGGGCGTGGGAATATCATATCTTCCTCCAGAAGTTTGCTCCTGCATTCAGCGCAAATTGCCGGTAATAGAAGCCACTGGAATGATGGACAAGTGTTATAGCACAGACAAACAGACATAACTCATTGAATATTTCTCAATGTAAAACATCGTCGCTAAAGCATTACCGCCAGCTGTTGAGTACACTGTGGTGGGTAGTACGCTGAACAGATGGCGGTAGTGTGTAAACGTCAAACGCAAGGGAATTGACTATGCGCCCAACAGGTCGCGGTACTACCAACTATGATACCTTTGAATTGACCGTTAAATGCTTGTTCGATGAACAACTTGCGAGTGTTATGTCTGTTTGTCTGTGGTTATAGCTTATCTTCTTCATTTGTCATTTTCAATACTTACATCGAATTCCCAATCATCTGGACACAAAGATTTTCCACTGCTATTGAGATTATTCAACTTGATTTATTTTATCGAAAAAAGCGGCAAAAGAGGGTTCCGTGCTGCCAGTAAAAACATCCGTATTTTGACAGTTGTACAACTTTTCATTTAAAAGAAACACTTTTAAATTTACGAATCGAAAGTGAAAGAAACACTTTCAATTAAAAAATAAATAATTTAATTTGAATGTTTTCGTAGTTGAAACTATGAGTTTTGGGAAACTTTTAATTTGAAAATGCTTTATTTTTATTAATACAATTTTAGTTATTTGTGTGTACAGATTTATCTGTAACCAAACAGATTTTTTTCAATATTTTTATATAGATATCTGTATGAACAGATTACAGAATTTTCCTTGTCCAAGGATGAGGGGCTTGATGATGATTTTTCAAGTGTCGCTATGATTTTTTTTTTCAATTTGTTAAAATTTTAGTTTTTCTCCAGTTCATTGATTTGAAAGGTTCATGCGAGTTAATTTCACGGAGCCGTAAATTGTAGTTTTATCATAATTTTAATATTAGCATAAAATAAAATAGTAATTTTAGATTCGCTTTTGTAATGCTAAGGTAAATAGTTTGCTTTGAGTATAAAGTTAATTTATAAGAAAGTTCTTTGCACTTCGAAACTTGACGGGTCATACCTCTAACATAGTAGCAGTGACAGTGTCGCATGTCCTAACAACAACTGCCTGCGATTAGTGTTCGAAGGGCCGACAGGGCTGAATAAGGGTCAATACTAACAAAACTCTAACACTAACATGACCCCAAAAGTAACGTTCATCCATTGCACTAATAGTTATAATGTAGTTGTACTTTCCTAATAACCCATCTATCACAGACAAACAGACATAACACTCGCAGGTTGTTCATCGAACACGCATTTGACGGTCAATTTGAGTGTTTTTGATTGGTGGTGCCGCCACCTGTGGCGCGCACGGTCTGTTCCCTTGCCTTTGACGTCTGCACACTAGCGCCATCTGTTCAGTGTACTATCCATCACATGATACTCAACAGATGGCGGTAGTGTTTAAGTGACTATGTTTTGTGGAGAGAAATATTAAATGTGTTATTTCTGTTTGTCTGTGCATCTATGTTTCTTTTTCGTTGTGTGTGTGTGTGTGTGTGTGGGGGGGGGGGGGGGGGAGGGTTATTGTGACCAATACTAATACCTTTCTCTCTGTTCTTTTATTTCTATGTCCCTTCACCATCACCCCATATCCCATCATTTTGACGAGATATGAGTTACTTGCATGATGCACGCACAAGTCGTACAACAGGATAATATGCTGAGCGTGGTTCTATCACAAAAACCACGCAGGAACGAAAATCGATAGAGCTGAGGAATAATGAGGTAAATTCTACACAGTATTTTAAAGGAGCCAACTCTAAGCAGGTAATAATAGCAATTAATAATCAAACAACCATAAAAAGGTAAGAATGAATTTATCTATTTTAAATACAGTTTGTCAGCCCCTCCGCGCTTCAGACTTATTTCTTTCAATAATTTCACATAATCATAAATCTAAAATATTTTCATTCGTCATTCGTTAAGAGGGATATTTAAAGTATACTTTGGTTCAAGAAGATTACTAAAAAAGGGCATGGGTTTTTTAGAACATTGGAAAACATTTTCAAAAAAGAGGGCTGACAAAATCGGGTCATTACTGTATTCCATTTATATTTTCATGATTTATCACATGGTCGTAATCTAATACCATAGAGGTAACTCTAAGACCACTGGGTCCCGAAGAAAATCATTATTATTTTTGGCTCACTCAGTACCAGAACAACGGTCCCAAGCAGTCCCAAGCTATTTCACTCACCCCTGCATGTTCTGCATGAATCCACACACCCCTGATGTTATCTGTCAAACTTTCATAGCGAATCAAAACAAACATAGTGTAGTAATAGAATTTCAACTAGAATAGGGTACGTTAATCGTTTGCTTGGGACCAATAGGCTACTAAAGTGGTGAGCCAATTTAAAATCGTTAGTTTCGTATTGATTGTTGCTAATACACAGTTGATCACAATACGAGCCTAAAAGCTGCAGTGACCTAGTGAGCACCATGGCTCGAGTCGTCTGTTAGTATTGTGTATTGCATGGAGAGCCCAACCGAGATGCTAGCCTATTAAGACTGCAGTTGGTCAACTCTCGAAAAAAAAAATAGATTACAGATTTTTGAAAAATATACAGATTTTTCAAAAAGGAGAATATTTTTTTATATTATTGTTTATATTTATTAATTCTGATAAATAATTTTTTCATACTTTTGAGCAGCTTGAATTCAATCTGTGAGCATCAAACCCAAAACGTATTTTTCACTAAATATAATATGATTGTATTATCTTCGGATGGGCTTAGAATCTTTTGAATGGACTACTGATGTTCTGATGTTCTGATTTCTCGTTGGAAAGGATATTAGTTTCCCTTTCTTTTTATTTAATTAACCATGTCACATGGTGACAGATTCAATATTTAATTAACTATATTTGTGTGTCAAATCGGTAAACAAGTCATTTTAGTAAACCCAGGAAATTTCCCGTTGGAAGCAGATTTGTCTCTCGCTACTACTGGAACTTAATGTTTTGTATTTTCTGAATTGTAGGAAAGATACAAATCACTTAAAAAATCAAGGTTATAGCAAGCAAACTTTAGTCGTTTTTCAAGATTCTTAACATTAAACAAACTCCTTCTGAACTATGAATGAACTCAATGAAGATTTAGGTAAATCCACACTGAG